TTTAAAAAAAAAAAAAAAAAAAGCTAAATTTTTTTGTGGGGGTCTCTTGATAAGATCATGAGAGCTGGCTACAAAATGTGGCCCAGTATCATTGTCTTATTCAAGGCTCCGCTCCTTATTACTCTTACTACCCAGCTCTTGAGCTATACAAGTGCAGTGCCACCAGACAGCAGTCTTATATGAGCATGATGAAAAGTTGTTTTGTATTAGGTGTTATCCTTGCTAGTTGGAACTGGAAAAAAAAATCCCCCCCCAACTGGTGTGAGAGCATTGTGCAATTAGGTGCATTTGTGTGCATAGGTGTTAAATGCTGTTCTTTGGGTACAGCAAGGCTACCAGGCTAGGCGGGTGTTTAATCTGTTCTGCTGCTGCAATTCTGGAGATTTTGATAAGCAAAGAAAACCCCTGAAAATGGGGTTGTTTCCCTTCTGCCTGCTTTGTTCATGACCCTAATCCTGTGAGGTACAGAAGACTTTCTGCTGCAGCCTGCAAATGGTACTGTCTCGTGGGGGGAGAGACTTTCTGCTGCAGCCTTGCTGGTCTGGGCTTGACTTGTCTGGTGGAGATCCCAGACGAGAGGTTTAGCTCGACTCCAGCTCAAGTCATTGCAGTAAAAGTTTGAGATGTCACCTTGCATCTGGCTGAGCCAGGGGCTGTTGGCTAAGCCCAACCTAAAGCCAGTGCTTTGCCTCTGAGTCCATAGTGAAGCCTGGCTGCTTGTGTGCTGAATTCATGGAGAGCTGGTTGCATCCTTCATGCTCCTGGCCCTCTGGATGCACGACTGTTTAGTTGATTTTGTGTTGCAGAGCTGCCATGGGCCTCATTAGGTGCTTTAGAAACCCATAGGAGGAGGCAGCCTTCACTTCCGAGAGATCGGAGTGCAAATAGACAAGACAACAAAGGATGGGAGCGGAAAAGGCTCAGAGGGGCAAAGGGTCAATGCCCTACGTATGCCCTAATTGCACAATGCCCTAGGTATACAGCAACTTAGTACCAGAGTGGGATAGAAAACCTGTTGCAGACTATCCTAAATGCCCATTTCATGTGCAGCTCCCCAGAATGTGACCTTGTCCTGTTTCCTTTTCATCTTCCCCCTTTTCTTTGGAGAACGTCAGCTGGAGTGCAGTTCCCCTGCACAGCATGACCCTGTGACACGCTACACTGTGCAACAGCCTTGATCACTGGCAGCTCAGTGCAAGATGAAGAGTGGAGGAAAGTGCAGGGAGTGTATGCGTGGGGCAGAGTGACAAGCCAAGTGGCCTTGGCCACAGCTCCAGCCATCTGTGGAGCGCAGAGCCGGGGCAGACTCCAAGGTCGGGAGGGGTGGAGCAAGGATATCTCAGTGCATACCACACACATAAATGAATATAACCTTGCAGCATCCTTGTGAAGAGGGTATGTGAGTATTGATATGTACCTGTCACAAATAGGAAACAGAAACCAGAGATTAAGTGCGATTTTGAGCAAGTCACAAGACATCAGTGGAACAGCTGGGAAAAGAACCCAGGAGTCCTCTGCACTCCCGGTCGGTTTTGCTAGCCGCTCCATGTGTTACCTCCCATATGTTTTAACAAAAGAAAGAAAAAGTGTTCTTAATTTTACTTGGAGGAGGACAGGCGCATGCACATCTTGCGATTGTGTCAGTAGCCTGAAATTCAAAGTCAGTTTTCCACTAAGAACACTCTCTCTCCACACAAGCACAATTTTCACTCTTTATCCCATTGTATTTTGTAAATAAAGGATTAGGCCAAACTTTTCAAGTCCAGAGACCCAAATTTGGGCTCTTCAGTACAGACTACTGATAGCATAGATTAGATGAGATTTCAAGGAGGCTGGACATTCCCAAAGTCTGTTGATCTGTATGGGAAATGCGAGTACACAGCCCCACCTCCACGGCTTATTGCAGAGATTCGGGACCTGAATGTTAGTTGCACAAGCGTTGGCTGTATCAGTTAACGGCTGCGTTTAGGTCCAACTCGGCTATCCAAACCATGAGCATTTTGTTCTTCTAATCTTGTGTTTATGTTGTTTCCTTTTTGAAAAATGTTTTTTTTAATGTTGCAACCCCTACCCCCCCTCAAACCACCCCAGTATCTCCCAGTTAAGTCTTCATGTTACTCTCCTTCTCTCAGTTCTCTGGCTAACCACATGAATATATAGAGCGGTATATATTCATATATGTATGTATGGCCCATGGTTTTACTATTGCTGCTTAGATAACCCTCTCCTGATTTTTTTGCTGTTTGTTTTTCGAAGGTGATTGTTTTGCTGTTCTCAGTCGGCGATGAGGATTCTCGCGGCTGACTCTACTTTTGCCTGCTGTGGTGTTCGCTTCCTTTTCAAAGTAGAGCTCAGATGAAATGCATGTCTTTCCAGTCGGTTCTTAAAAAAGGTTTTGCATCTGAGAGCCTTGCTTTGCCTTTCTCCTCTTGCATTTGTCTTGCCCCGGTCTCTGTTTGTTGGTCTAATATTTTGATTTCCCTGTTTCGACTTCATAGCAGATGTTGTTCAGTCTCATGGTGCCGTCTTCATGGAAAACGCATCCCTGTCCACCCCTATTACAGCCCCTCAGTTCAGGGGTTTCCGGAGAGCCAGTGAGATCAGCATTGCCAGCCAGGTCTCAGGAATGGCAGACAGTTACACTGCTTCCAACATAGCCAACAGTAAGTGTTTCGCACCCTCCAAGACTTCTTCTCACTCTCGCACTAACGTAGCAGCACCACACACCAGGCCAGGAAGGGAAGACCCGCACATCTGTTCTGTCTTTGTTTGTTGGGCATGTTTTCACTGGAGATCCTTAGGTTTGGGAGAGCCACTGTACTGATGTGTGATCCTTCCAGACATGGGGCAGGGAGGGACTGGGGAATGTGGATGGTATTTCCTGGCGTGGAGAGTGTCGCAAGGAGCAACTCCTACAGGTCTTCCCCTAGCACTTAATTAAAATGCAGCACAGAAGATTATCAGAGTCCTCTGGCCACGGTGTTTGAAATGTTGTTCGCTCCTGGGTATGATAAGAACAAGCTCCCTTATCTCCTGGAAAGCAAAAAATCAGCCAGCTGTCGTATGTGCTGGCAAACTGATGTCAGCTCATGAATGTATGTGCTTCTGAGAGCTTGCCTGACTTGTCGCAATGTTATGTCTTTTTCCATTTGAATTAGATGGGCCGGTCGTGTGACACTGGTGGGGAATGCAGTGCGCTGACAGATGTTTTATGGGACACGGGTCTAGTTTACCCTGTTTGAAATGGCTGTCTTCAGAAACGGGCAGCTGTTCGGACTGTTCACTGTTGAACCATCAGACTATTTGTCCTCTTGTTACAATTACGTGTCTTGTTTAAATGTATCCTCCTGATATATGGTGCTCCCCCCTTTCTCCCCCCAGGAGCGGGGCTGCAGATAGTGGAAAGGGTCCACACAGTGGATCTGTGCAGAGACAAGTCAGACTGTACCCCAGATTTGGTCTCTCTCTAGAACTGGAGCTTGAGCTTGAACCACAGTGTCTGGTGATGTCTGAATACCAGGGCTGAATGTTATGGCCGGCGCTTCTCTGCTTCTTGCTGGGAACCTGGCAGTGGTGGAGGATATAGATTGTAATTGGTTGTTGGAGACTATATTTTCAATTATTAAGAAGCTGGAACTGTTCCACCTCAGCTCCATTTTATCATAGTCAATGACACATGTTAATGTATCCCTTGGAGGAACCAGATGCCTGCAATTATAATACGGTGGGCTGTCACTGTATTATGCATGATGGAGTACATTGGAGATTATGGGCATAAATTTGTACGCGCACTCATACCCCAATTCACATTCATACTCACACACTCATCGAGGTTATCAGTTATAGATACACACGCACACACACACATATATAAAAATAAAAAAAATAAAAATCTCAGGATATATATCTGCTATAACCTTGAAAAGCAGTTGGCCCCTGTGTATCATTCAGAAAACAAATGGGTATTTCTGCTCCTCAGCTGATGATTGTGGACTGAACAAGTAGCTGGTAATCTGCACACCTAGATAAATAATGTAGGATCTGGCAGGTGGCTGGTGAGAGATTACTTAAAGGTGGCCAACAGGGGTGGAGGGTGGGAATAGGCCTGTGCCCTTTCCTTGCTGATTTCTGGCTTAGAAATAAAAGGCCTGTGGTGAAGAATGAGGGTGGGTGGCGGGTGGGTGGCGTGGCTGAGTTTAGCATTAGGAAGTTAGCTTGTTTAGTCTCTTGTTTAGCAGACAGCTAACGAAACAAGGGCATTGTCAGAGCAAGTGCTAAGCTACTGGGGATGAAAAGGATTTTTAGCCAGACCAGTTTGTTTGGTCAAGGCCTGTTTCACTTCAGTGGCTGACTTGTCTCAGAGTGTCAGCCCTTGCTAAAGAGCCGGGACCCTCCTCCTCTCCTGCAAGATGGCACCTTTCCCTTCCTGCAAAAGTGGTGCCTGAAGCTGCTGGCTCAGTAACCCTCCCACTAGTGAATCGGCCTGGCTAGGCCAGCATGGGGTGTGTA